CATAATAAATGAAATTAGTTTGCAATAGTTTTAGTATGGTACAAACATGGGAATTTCCTTAATTATCCTAAAGTTGCAGGGAATATTAATACAAATTCTAGTTTTAAAAAAATGATAGACATTTCTTTGGTATTGTAATAAAGTTACAACTGTGCATTTGAAGAGAAACTTATATTTCAGTATCCATGATTTCATTATACTACAAGTTGCTTTTAATAATAAGTTGAAATTGGAAGCAAACCATAAACCACATTGAAATGGAGACTGAATTCTGAGACTTAACTATCTGACAAACTGGATCTACATCTTGTTAATTTTGCATATATAAAAAATACATTTAGTAAAATGTATGTGTTATGGACAAAAAAAAAAAGCTTTGGGCTACAATTAATGAAAGCCTATGCCCAGAAAATATTTGAGTTTTTAAAGGGCTACAAAATTACTTAAATATTGCAGTATGTGAAAATACTCAAAACCATAAAGTTTGTTCAATTTGTTTATAACTGTTTTTCTTAGTTATATGTATGATGGCAGACAGCTTCTAAGGGAGTAAATGCATTTGTGGTAGATCCACAAATCTTCCACTAATAAAATGCAAATTACATAACAAGAATTTAGTTATTATCACTGTTTCAGATACTCTGAATAACAATACCCTTGCTTAATATGATAAATAACATTCTAGACAGTATTAATGGAAATTGGGTGTAATAAATAGTTTTCATATTTACTAAAGTGGTCAAAACCTATTAAGTTAAAAAAATTATTAAAGTTTTAGGAATCTCATCTCTATCCAAGAAATTAAAGCAATCTTTCAACTATATACATTATATATTGCTTAGGTCTGACATGCAAAAAACAAGTGCAATTTCATGATTTTAGTTTTTGCATAAGACAGTGAGCAGTCCTATATGTATGTAGTTTTCTAGACACAAGAGCATTCTGATCTTGCGTCTTAATTAAAGAATTAAATGTAATTGAGAAATGAGTCCAGTGAACTGAATCCAAAATTTCCTTACTATTTTTTTTTTAAATGCTAAGGCATTTTTCTTTACTCTGCAGTCTTTTTGCCTTTTAACAACTGAGAAGATAGTGTGGCAAACTGCAAAAATAATGAACAGGCAATATAGTGTTAGGTAAAGTTAATACAGTACTACACTGAAATATACATTCCATTTTAAAGTTCTGCATTTTTGCAATATTAATGTCAAATCAAATGTGAAAGACATTCCCTGAAAGCTTTTGTAACTGATATGTTTTATCAGTTTTAATGCAGAAAAACAGAATAATTGTATTTCTGGAAAAATATACTGATATCATTTATAAAAGTATAAATTAGTAATTTCTTTCAAAAACTATCTTATTTTGATAACATTATCATAGGAATGTTGCAACAGTTGTAAAGGTGAAAACCAGTCATGAGTCACTTTTTTCAGTGCTGTTATAACTTTGAATGATCACTAAACGAATAGTTGTAAGTCCAGGACAACCAGCACTTCCACAGACAATGCTAGTTCCAAAAGAATTCTCAACCTGAAGATCTGGACCTTTTCCTTGACTATCAAGTATGGAAGTTCAAGATGAATTACAGTAAAATAAACATTTGCAATATGATTGAAAAATTGTTAGTGTCCAAAGAATCCTACGATTGTTGCAAATAAATATTATTTAAGAATTTTATAGCATGAGATAATATTATAATTTTAATCTCTTGTTTCATTGCCTGGAAGAATTTTACTTAAATAATTCATAAACATTGATGTAATAATGATAATATGAAAGGAAAGAGAAGTTATATTTTTTAACACCTGCATAAATAAGTGTTAAAGAAGGGGGTGTGCCTCACTGAGATATTTTAGTTTGAAGTTGTTGATATGGTAAGACTGCTTCCATATGAAGCAATTTGTTTTTCTATATACAAGTGCATAATCTACAGAAATAAAAACAAAGAATTAATTTGAGGTACATAATCATACTTTACCTATCAGTGGTTAATGGAATTGCTGGTTTAGGCAACCCTTTCCATCCCATCTTAATACAAGCCTCCAAGAGTTACCTGGAATAAAACTCCACAAATAAAAAGTATACCATATATTACTGTATGGTGAAAGAATAATTAGGATACTTTTTTTTTTAAAAGCCTTAATATTGAAGTGGGAGAAATTTTCAGTAGGGTTTTCATTAGGTCTTGCCTTCTCAGCTGTAATCCATAGCATCAACAGGAACTTTTTTAAAATGTTGCTATTAGGTATGCAATTTTACACGTTCAGTGAACACAAAATTAGAGAATAGAAGTATTAGTTTAGTATCAAGAGTGAAGATGTGAACTCAAGCATTACAATTTACTCTATGTTGAAGAAGCTACTTCTGTGTGTCTGCAATATATTGGAATCTGCCATAGCTGAAAAAGATGTATAAATAAAACAATTTTTTATCCAGTACAGAAATACTGCATACTTTTTGCCCGCCAAGTCTATTGTAGTGAATTATAGTCATTAAAGGTCTTTTAATAAGCCGCTGAACAACTCCACCTGCATGGTTGGATGCCTTTTACTTGTTTAAATTAGCTGCAGAAGATTTTTTAGTTTTGTTGCCGACTAAAAATATAGCTTTGAGAGAAATTGCTTTAGCAGAATGTTTGCTTTAGGAAAATTAATGCTTCTTTAAAAACTGTCAGGTTTCAAAAGCAATCCCATTTTCACTTTCTACATTGATAGATATTACAAACACCATGACTTTCCAGAATAATAGCAAAAGAAAGTGTCCTATAAGGACTGTTGCTATTGCTTAAAGAAATAAGAAACACATCACAATATTGATACTTTTATAAAAATGTGTTTGAGCAAGTTAGAGGTTGTTCATCTTCAGCGCAAACCAGACAAACTATTTTAGCATGCTATGTGAATCCAGGCAAAGGCTCTTTTTTTCTCTACACTGCAGTCCCAGCCCTTAGATTGATATTCAGGATGATTGGAAAGATGAGAATGTCTTTTTTCAACTTGCTGGATGGATTGAGTAAAAGAGACTGCAGTCTGGAAGTGGCAACCTGAAGCTTGCATCCACCCATGGCCCAGAAGTGTTTGGAGCTAGATAGTTGTCTAGCCAACTATCTTTCTATGTCATAAACAGCCAAGTAATGCTTCTTGCAAACTAGTTTGCAAAATGACTAAGCATATTATCTGAACATTAGATTATGTTACCTATATAAGTCATGAATACATATTAAAGTTTGCAGGAGACCAGAAATACTTTGTATTCAGACAATACCCGTAAATAATTAGCAAGCTAGAGACATCATTGTTCTTGTCACATGCAGCAGGAGTATATTCTTACAGTGAGATGTGATAATGTAAGACTGGATTCACACATAATGCTAAGCTATAATAGGATGTTTGGTCATTTTGCTTAGCATATTATGTGATTCCAGTAATCAGGTTGGCTTGCTAAAAATTACCATAAATGAATGACACTAACATTTTAGAAGTTCTGCACACCATGAAATTAAATTTGATGACAGTCAGGTTTTCATAGTTGTGGAAACCAATGGCTGCATCATTAATACTATCAAATATAATGAACAGACATTATAAAAATTGTTAGAATTCATACATGGACATAGAATTATTGATCCCAATACATCAAATAGATGTATGAAATATATGAAGATTTGTCCTTATCTGTCCTTAGTTATGACAACTATATCTGTCATTTTGAACTTAAATGAAGTCCTATTGTTTTAGTGAATAATTTTGTTTTCCTCCAGCGTTCCCTTTCCTGCGCACCAAATTCTACATATTCCAATAATAGTAATAAATGCAGAATATATAGAAAGTTTTACTTGAAATAGACGGAGATATTTTTTAATACATGGAAATGATAACATTGGATGTATGAGTTTGTGTGTCACCATAACATTATTTTGAAACCAGTACCTAAAGCTTCGATATATTGCTTGAGTGATATATCATGTTTGTTCATTTTTCATGCTTCTACAGTATGCTTTAACAAGAATTTCCAGAAGCAGCCTAGGGAAGAACTTTGGTGTTGCATCGAAAATTGAAGACCATAGAGGAGACTCTCATTATCACAGGCTTCTTTCAGTAAAGTAATTTATGTGTCATGTGGGAGGGTGGTGGAGAAAAGATAGTAGTTGTAATGTTACTTGATTTGTTATGTATGGTTTGATGTAGTTTGTTAACTTAACCTGCAGAGAAAAGAGATTGAGACTGACAGATCAAAACATATGCAGAGATATAGAACTTAATTGTAAGCAGGAATAATACAAAGTAAAATGCAGCGTATAGCATGTGAAAGTTTTACTGAATATCAGAGCTTAAAATGAGTATGCTTTTTCATGCAGTATTACATTTCTAGGCACTTGTTTCTTCAGTCAAACTTTTTGTACTCCTGAAAAACGTTTTGTTCTAATCATGGATGTACATATATCTTTTCCTGAACAAATACATCTAAAACTGCAGTTTGTATACATAATTCCATATCTGTCAGCTGAAAAGTGACTATTTAACGATCATGAACGCAGCCCCGGAAACGTGGATCTGTTTCACTTTTAATACTTACTATATGCCATAAAATGGATTTTTAAAAACACTGTCCTATATTTTCTTGTTTTGTCCAATGCCATCCTGGACCTTGGGGTTTTTTTAATCAGTTATTTCCAAGTTTGTATTTCCAAGTTTGATTTTTAGATTAATGAGTCATGTTTTGTATAGCAATATTTGATGCACTGAGTTGTGATTATACATATATCTGTTGCTACATAATGTTTTTCTAACTTCAAGATGCTTTGGCATGAACAGTTTACATGGTTGGTTTATTCAGCTATTTTCCTGAAAATTGTTTAAATAGAAAGGCAAGTTATATGTTCATAAAATAAAGGTATCATGTAGGCTGCCATAACAGAAACTCAATACAAATTGTGTTAAATATTTGTCTTGGATCATATGATGTCTAGCTCTTTCTTTTTGTTTCTTTTTTTTCAGATCAACAAAAATGGGAAGCAGTAGATTCTGGTTTACTTCTAGAAATGTCAGTGGGACTGGTTAAGACCAAAATCTGAAGTTTTATCTTCGTTTGCCCATCACCAGGTGTGCACTGACAGAGGCTACCATAAAACTATTTTGAGTATGAACATCTTTTAAAATGGTATAATATATATATATAAAAGTATTGTTTTGTTATATAGTTTTAAATAGTAGTTGCTACTGTATTATTCATTTTACAGTTGTGAAAGAACGAATGTGAATAATGTGTACTGAAGCTGAAAATAGACATTGCTCAAATTTTTTTCAGCTGGTCTTTGAGAAGTGTAATATTTGAGCAACAATATTAAATACTGTCTGCATTGCTCAGCCTGTACATCCACAATTGAATTAGCAATATTTGACAACTACAAATAATAAGCTAGTATTTAAATTATTTAGAATTTTACCCTAGGGATAACAGAATCAAAAGCAGCTGGGCTTCAAAACACTATGCACATTGTTCATCATTTACATGAAAACTTTCCTGATAATCTTTTTCTGCACTGCTCCTCATATATATTTTCTCACTCTCTACCCAAAAAAACCTCACCCCCTACTGCTTTTGAAAACCAATCATTTTTTTGTGGTATTATTCAATAATGTAATTTTAAGGGAAGATCAGTTTTCACTTCAGATAATTCATATGTGCACACCTCTTTCAATCCAGGCCACCAAAATCGTTTTGTTTTGTTTTTAAAAGAACCTATAATTCTGAATTTTATTATGACTTGAATTCACATAATTAATTCATAATTAATTCATTCATAATCAATTAAGTTTAAAGCAGCAGGCAGCAAGCGCTATTTTCCTTTCTCTCATGGGTTGAATAAATGTATATCTTTTGGAGATCACAGGCTGCATGATTTCAGATGGTAAGTCACATCCAGCCCACAGACCAATGATGGCTAACCTTTTTTGGCTCCCGTGCCAAAACCAGGGGGTATGCAGGGGGATCGTGTATGGGCGTGCCACACCAATAATGCCATGTGTGCCACCAGTGCACGTGCTTGAGCGACTAGCAAGCGCCCCCCCCCCTGCTTTTGACACAGTTTTTTCACCCTCCCCAGGCTCCAGAGGCTTTCTAAAAGCCTGGGGAGGGTGAAAACAGCACTCCCCCTGGATGCCCTCCGGAGGCTTCAGGAGCTTAAGGACTACCTGTAAAATGCTTCCTTTTTCATCTGAACCTGAGGCTCTTATATGTACCATATTATTAATATTATGGAACCTATACTTCATAGTTCCAAGATGCAATGAATGTAAGACATATGTGTCCTGTGAACTTTTATAGTTATTCTTGAAAAAATGAACATTTGTTGGTATATGCTGTGCACTGGGGAAAAGAAAGCAGACTTAAACCAATAGGGTCAATTCCCTATTAAGCCTTTGTAGGGTATGCTATAGTGGGAAGAATGGATTGGTGAAAATCACTGTCCCTTTTTCTCCAACAAAATTCTGCTGAACCATTAGTTGAAGCCAACTAATATAAAGGACAGGAGAGATAGTAAGAAAGAAGAGTTTAATTTATTACACTCAATTGAATTCAGATGGGCTTGAAGATCAATATTAAGTATGGACAGGAAAGATATGTTGGGGGCAGCCAATTTACAAAATGGGAATGTAGAGTCTGAGAGGCAAGGGTTCTGTTGGCCATCACAATCTAAGATGCATTTATTTTTAAGAATTTGAAGATTAACTAATGGGAAAATAGAGAGCAATACAAGATATCCATTCTTTCCTGCTCCATAATGCAATTCTGTAAAATCTCTTGCATTTTATTGTTTTTCTTTCTCCGCTTACTGGCAGGTTTTTTAGTGTTCGTTAATCTAGAATTTTACTTATTAGTTCTACATCTTTATATACTTTATTAGTTAAATAGGCATTAGTGTTAATAAGAATAGTTACAAGGCTAGCTTTTTTAAAAATATCACTTTTATTATGATTGTATTGCTAATTTGAGTAGAATTATAATTTAAAAAATGAGATTCTAAAGTTCAGTCTAATTGAATTAAATATGGAAATTTACAGAGCAACATATATACCAATATTATTAATTTGGTTAAGACTCAGTTGTATTAGAAAGTAGGCCTTTTATTGCTTTAAGACAGGTATCAGTTACTTTTTTATGATTGAAAATGTTCAATGTTCTTCCCTCCCTTAGCATATCGGTTATAATACTGAATTGTTTAAGATATGACAAATTTGTGCTTGATAAATATAAATTGTATATCAAACTTTTTTACCAATAAATAACCCCATCCTCCTGTACTTCAGTTTTTAGAATGATTTCAGACTTTTCTGGTGGCCAATTGTTAAGCAATCAATAGTCTCTTGTGGACCTGATATTTTTTCTTCCTTAAATGCCATTTCTTCCTCATCATTTTTGAGTTAAAGATAATTATTACTGTATAGCTGCAGATTTACGAGTCATAGCATTAAAACACGTTTATAAAGAATTCATCAGTTATATTTGCAAAGTGATAAATAAAACTTCCATAACCTCTTTAATTGCAATTAGAGTAAATCTGAAAGATTAGGAGTATTAGGAGCCGAGGTGGCACAGTGGTTAGGGTGCAGTACTGCAGGCCACTTCAGCTGACTGTTATCTGCAGTTCAGCGGTTCAAATCTCACCCGCTCAAGGTTGACTCAGCCTTCCATCCTTCCGAGGTGGGTGAAATGAGGACCAAGACTGTGGGGGCAATTTGCTAAAAATCTGTAAACCGCTTAGAGAGGGCTGAAAGCCCTATGAAGCGGTATATAAGTCTAATTAATAAATAAAATAAATAAATATTCATGTACTTAAAAGTCAATATCTGCCTACCTAAGACCAAATAAAATTAGCTATTCATATCTTAAACTATTTAGCTAAAGTGTTGAATATTTGGATATTTGTGAGAACACCTAAAATAATTCATTTTTATAACATTGGATTTTAAAATATGCATTCTTTAGAACACTTTTTCCTTTAAAAATCATGTATATTTTAAAAGAATTACTGCAATTACTAAACAAAGGCTATTATACAAAAAGAAGATATTTTACATTGATTATATACTTGCTACATAGCAGTAGCAACAGCTAGCAAACACTTCATTTGGATCACATAGTAAATTAATTAAGTCACTATATGAAAAAGCATTGCACTTTTTATTTCTGCCATACCTTTTCCTCTAAACATTTCTGTGAATATTTGAAAACCCTATTGAACAATATGAGATGGGTTATAATTTTATTTTCCTTAACAGTCCACTTAACTTGTTCAAGAGGAAACCTGCTTTGCAAGGAGAAAAGTGGGAATGATGAACTTACTGAACTCAAGTTTACTGTAGGATCTAAACCTGTGAATTGGTATACATGAGTATAACAAAACTCTATCCACTGCAAAATCAGTGAGAGGCAAAAAGAGACATAAATATTTACCGTATTTTTCGGAGTATAAGATGCAGTGGAGTATAAGACGTTTTGAAGAGGCAAATTAAAAGGGGGGGTCGCACTCTGCAAAGCTCCCAAAAAGGGAGGTTTTTTTGTGAAAAATGGGCCTGTTTTTTTTCTCCCAGAAAAGGCATGAAAGGCTTTTAGGGGGCTTGTAGAGCGTTCCTGGGAGGTGGCCCCCGAAAAAGCGAGCAAAAACTGGCCTGTTTTTTGCAAAAATGGGCCCGGTTTTTGTAATTAAAAAAAAATTGCATGCATAGCCTTTAGGAAGCTTATAGAGTACTCCTGGGGGGGGGGCAAAATTGAGCAAAAAAATGGCCTGTTTTTCACTCATTTCTGCCCTTCTCAGCCCCCGGGAGCTCTCTGAAAGCCTTCTACAGGCTCTGCACGGCAATTTTGGTGAAGGAAGTGGGGCTTCAGGAGACAAAAAGTGCTGCATTCAGTGTATAAGATACACCAAGATTTTCAGCCTCTTTTTTGAGGGAAAAGGGTATGTTTTATACTCTGAAAAATATGGTAATCCCAACTCTGTAGCACCATGCCCATGCAAATGAAAGCTCCATAAATTTCCAGAACAGATTTTGATGTCAAAAGGGAAGGGAAAGAGAGAAAGCGGAAAAAAATCCATTACACTCCATTGCTTGAAATTTGTGTTTACAGAAGTATTGGAGTCAATATTATGTTTGTAGTAGAGACCCAAATAGACATAAAAGTTGGGGAACTTTCTAGCAACTAACAGAAAGCAAATACTGGATTATTCAAAGATGTAGAGATCGAGAAATTATTTTGACCAGCTGCTCAAAATTCAGGAACACTAGTTAAAAATACAAAATTGACTGTTGGAACATCAGCAATTCAAATCAAAATTCAAAGTAACATTCAAAATAAAATGTCTAACTAAGAAAGTAAATAGAAGTCCAAGGCTGGATTTACTGCTCTTGCCCAACAGTCTTAGTAAGCATTACAGCTTAAACTACGGGCATATATGTAATTCCTTACTTTTCCCTGGCTCTCTTCCTTTTCTCTGATTAAGTATTTGCAAGTTGAGGGACCAACTTTCTTGTCTGTCTAGACAATTTGCTGATCCAGATGGTGGGCAGAGTTTAATTTTACTGACCTAATAAGGATAATTAATCAGGTTTTTTTCTTAGCAGACTTCTTTGCAATCTCCCTCAGCCTCCTTCAACCCCTACCTGTCCTTCTTTCAAAGCTACCTTTATGCACTCTGCAAACACTGCTGTTGGTTGCTCTCAGGGAGGTTGGTTTTTAACTTCACTTTAACCCCAACTCAGGATTTACACAACCCTTTTTGATAGGTTTCTTAGGCTTCAAATCTAACATGGGGTAAGAAGGGACCAGCCATACTTGTTTCTTGATTTCTCTGATAACGTCTTGCCTGACTAAGCCATATAACCCAGAGGAAGTATCTTTACTATCTATTTTCTGGCTCTTAACACATCTTAGTGAAGAATGGTTCTTCTATTCTAGCTTATTAGCTAGCTTATTCTGCAAATAACCAATTTTAATATATATAAAATACATTCTTAAGAGAGAGAAAAGGAAAAGGAAAAAATCAGCTCTGAAAAATGAAGATTCAATTTTTTAAAACTAAAATAAAATTGAAGTTAATCAGGAAGAAAAATGTTAGGTTAATTTGTGTTTTTTACAAGAAACTACCTTTTTCAGGGAAGTAAAATAGTTTATCATTTTTAATATATGTTTTAAGACACAGGTGTCAAACTCACCACATCACCTTGCTGTAATGTGATGTTTTCCCATTTACGGGGATGGGATGGGTGTGGCCTGCACATGACGCATCCTGCCTGCAGGCCACCAGTTTGTACCTCCTGTTTTAAGATATTGGACATTTTAAAAATTGATTTGCCAATTTGAAGGACTGTACAAAATTCTGTGAACAAACTAAGCTTTATTCAGCTTAATATGGCATCTTCTATGCTTATATTTGTCTTTTTTGAAACTATATGTCAGTTATTCCAATCTATTTCAGTGGCCTTGCTATCTGTGAACCCATTTTAATTTTACCTATCAGGGTGATTAAAATTAAAGCAATTGCACAGTACCTATAGTACTAATACTGAGGTTTAGGTAATTTGGATATAAGATATCTAAATAATTAGCTAATAAATATTAGGCCATTTTCATAAGTTAAAACATTGCATGTAAAAAAACTTATTGAATAGTTTATAACTTCAGAATATACCTGGAGGATCTGCATGTGTGAATACTGTCATAATATTTTTAAAAAAAATTATTCAGGATAAGATGTTAAAGAAGCAGCTTGGTTAAAAATTTTCTGATTTGCAAATAATAAGAATGGTTTGGATTGCCTGTTATGCTTTGATTTTTATATAAAGTTTGGGTTTTTTTCCTATTTTTTACAGATTGTTGCTTTTATATAAGACTTCTAATTCTCTTGCAACTTTATATGAAGAAGAGAGATGTAAAAAGTAAAATTAATAATATAAACATGAGACCCTTCAAACATGCAGACCTTCTTTCTATTCTGTAGTATTACTTCCTTATTGCTGTATCTTATAGCATTCATTTTTCACAATGCTATGATTCAGACAACAATCCTTTGGAAGTATATATTAGCCAAATTGAAGTTTGATTCTAAACTTTCATGAAACAGATAAATTAGTTCAAAAACCTATAAAGCAGTATGAGGTACTTCAGAGTACATGTGGATCTGTCCATCCTGAGCAGTGAATTTTGAGCTGTAATAAATAGTCTAAAAAGCGCCTATATATATTACATTAGACCAGCTGAACCTAATTTTATATATGCTTTATTCAAAAGCATCACATAGCAAGTAAACTTCAAAATTAAGTGTAGTTACAAATAGTTGTTTCTTATTTTTTTTTCCAGTCCCCTTTTGCTTTCTTTAACGACCACATGAAACTTGAGAAGCCATCTAAAGCTAAATCATTTAGTGGAGTTGGGCAGTTCCCAAGTGTCCAACAAGAAGGCCTGGTTTAGGCTGCGATGGCCACTGTCATTCCTGGTGATTTGTCAGAAGTAAGAGATACCCAGAAAGTCCCTTCAGGGAAACGTAAGCGTGGTGAATCCAAACCAAGAAAAAACTTTCCTTGCCAACTGTGTGACAAGGCCTTTAACAGTGTTGAGAAATTAAAGGTTCACTCATACTCTCACACAGGAGAGAGGCCCTACAAGTGCACACAACAAGACTGCACCAAGGCCTTTGTTTCTAAGTACAAATTACTAAGGTATTAAACTCTATTTATTTTTCAGATTATATTATATGTTGGCCATTTTAATATATATCTGTGTACACTCAGCTGACTTTTCTCAGAGGAAATGTTAATTTAGACATCAAATTGTACAATTATAAACTACAGTGCTTAATATTATAAACAAATTTGAATATTGTGTGTCTGTTTTTGAAGAGACAAGTTTAAATCTTTTCAGTTATATAAAGTTGTTACAAAGAAGTGAATAGACTGAGCACTTTGGGTATGGCTATAATAAGTAATCTACATAATAAAATGTTAATGTAACTTAAAATAATTAAAGTATCAGTTGAATAAATTAGCTTATAATGTGTGTTGCTACATTTTAGTATGATATGTATTGTCTGTAGTGACATTTCATGTAAATTTCTTTCAAAAATATTAAGTATTTAGGTACCTTAAAAATGAGCATATGTAGCTTCTGGTGAAAATAAATACTTACAGAATATATCTGTGTTTAAAGGCATATGGCTACTCATTCTCCTGAGAAAACCCACAAGTGTAACTATTGTGAGAAAATGTTTCATCGAAAAGATCATCTAAAGAATCACCTACATACACATAATCCCAATAAAGAGGCCTTTAAGTGTGAAGAATGTGGAAAGAACTACAATACGAAGCTTGGATTTAAGCGTCACCTGGCTTTGCATGCTGCAACAAGTGGTGATCTCAATTGTAAAGTATGTTTGCAGACATTTGAAAGCACAGGCGTACTGCTGGAGCACCTAAAAACACATGCAGGCAAATCATCAGGTGGAGTGAAGGAGAAAAAACACCAGTGTGAACATTGTGATCGACGGTTTTACACCCGAAAGGATGTCCGAAGACACATGGTAGTACACACTGGAAGAAAGGACTTCCTCTGTCAGTATTGTGCACAGAGATTTGGCCGGAAGGATCATCTAACACGGCATATGAAGAAAAGTCATAATCAAGAACTTTTGAAGGTCAAAACAGAGCCAATGGACCTTCTTGACCCATTTACTTGCAATGTTTCTGTGCCTATAAAGGATGAGCTGCTTCCAGTGATGTCTTTATCTTCCACTGAACTGACATCAAAGCCATTTACAAACACTCTACAATTAAATCTATACAACACACAACTTCAGTCTATGCAGAGTTCAACATCTGCACACCAAATGGTTGCCACATCATTACCTTTAGGAATGCCTTGTCCAATAGATATGGAATCAATTCACACTTCTCACCAACTTTCTTTAAAATATCCACTCAGTTCTACCTCATATACAGTTTCTATGACTGAGAAAGACCAGCCATTGAAAGGGGAAATGGAAAGTTACTTAATGGAACTGCAAAGTGGTATGCCTTCTTCATCCCAAGATTCTCGAGGATCATCATCTAAGTTAGGGTTGGATCCTCAAGTAGGTCCACTAGATGATGGATCTGGGGATGTTTCTCTTTCCAAAAGTTCTGTTTCTATAAGTGAACCTCTAAATACCCCATCACTGGACTTCTCTCAGTTATTCAATTTTATACCAGTAAATGGACCTCCTTTTAATCCTTCTGTTTCTGTGGGAAATCTTGGAATGAGTTACTCACAAGAGGAGGCACACTCATCTTTGACTCAGCTTCCTCCACAGGCACAAGACCTTCAAGACCCTGGTATTAATCTTGGGTCTCTTCACTCATTGTCTGCAGCTTTCACTAGCAGTCTAAACACAACCACAACTCTACCACGTTTTCATCAAGCGTTCCAATAACATGCGAAAATGGCCTTGTGACAAATCTGTAGAAAGCCTTAGATGACTTTAAATACTTTAGTGCCTACTATGTCATTTGTAAATCTACTTTTGTACAGTACCAGTCTCATTAAGCCAGTATAAAATTCAAATTAACTTTTAAAATAGTTTGAATGTGTTTGTTCACAGTTGTTTACTCTGGTTGTTAAAACAATCTGTATCCTCACTGCCAATAGATCCACAATTTTTAAAAAGTCTATGGAAAAGATATTTCCAGAATGTTATGGATCTCTTATTTTAAAGCTTCATTGAGATTTGATAATTTTATAGTAATTTAAAATCTGATAATTTTAAAAAAGAAAAAAACATTAAAAATTCAGTTTCATGAAAAATTTATAAAACAATTGAAACAATGAATTATAAATGAGTACATTTGTTACCAGTATGAAAAATTGTTAAGCTTTTTACATATAGATTTCTAAGAAGGTCTGAAGGACCTATTATTTTTTCTTAAATAATTTCACAATTAAAGGTGTAAATGTATTGCTTCATTTAAGTGCAATTACAAAGAAGTATGATTTGGCAAAAAAAAAGTATGCCTTATTGGCAAATCTAACTAGAGACAAAATTCAGAGCCTACCTTGAAATATAAATATTTTTATTTCATCATTCTGTAAATAGCTGTCATTTGCTATTCTCATTTAAAAAATGAGTCAAAAGCCACCGAAAGGTTTTACATGTTGATTTCAATTTGAAGTTAGAAAATGAATGTAAATCCACAAATACATTTTTCCATAATTACATTGGAGCTAATCACTTTTGAATTGTATTTCGTGACATATATGTCCCCTGTGCAAGACCTTTGATAGTAATCTTCCTTACCACACCTGGGTATTTGGCTAGTGATTTTTTTTCAATGCCAAGAATTTAAAACAGGACTCTGAGGAGTGAAGTAAAAGCATATTGCTTATGCCACTTTTACTTAATATTCAAGGTATTTAGAAAAACTAATAGCAAAACAGCTATTCATGCTGTGTGTCAAATTGCTATTTCTTTTCAAAACACATTCTTATATTCCCAATAACCAAAAGAAAGAAAAACTGTGATATAAAAATGGAAAATGTACTTTTGCTGTAATTTGGAAACATATTCATTTATACCTTTAGACTTTTAAATCATATAATTATGTCTATTCATTAGTGTGGTTAAATACATGAGTTTTAAGTAGTTAAAGGAAATATATTTAACAGAAACAAAGTTGCTCCCATTAAGGAGCTTTGGCTCCCAATATTTGTATCATAAGTTCCTACTTTATCGTAGGAACAATATGCAGGTATGATTTTACTATTTTATACTGATGTATTTAAATTTTATTACTGAATAGTAACTTTTTATAAGTGTTTTGTTCCAAAGGCATTAAAATAAGGATGTATTAATAAGGAAACCACCTTTTCAAATTTTGTAAGCTGCTCCAATATGCTGTGAGAATACTTTCTCAAAGTAGTCATTAGCTCTGCTGCATGATTGCTTCTTTTAGTTTCTATGAAACAGATTGC